TGTAGTGTTCATTATTTTTTTCTCTCCAGGCTTCATTTCAGTTGTCTAAGTGTTGTTTCAAGATGTGGCATTTGCCTTTGACCTTTGTTTGAACCATAACAACAAGTATCCGGTATAAATTTTATTAATCTCCTAGAGCACAAGGAGGAGGTAATGGTTCGAGGTGCTAAGCACCTCGTCCCAGGTCACCCAGGTTGGAAATGGAGGAGCAGATACTACCATGTCAGAGTGGACCCTCTTCCCAAGCCCTTCCCTCTCTGCTTGCTGTCATCTGGGCTGTGAGATTCTGACATCCCAGGAAGTAGAATCATAGTAAAGTCTTTCAAACTTTGTAGCATTACATGTAGATTATCAAATTCAAGGCTCTTTCTTATACAGCATGATATTTTCCCAGGACATTTTCTGGCATTCCGACCACTACTGTTCTGTTGTTTCCAATTTCAGGGAGCAAGCAAGAAGTTGCTTATTTCCAAGGAAGAGCAAGATGCTGGGAACTTTCACAAAGGAGGTACTCCAGCTCTTCTGAGCCACTCGGTCCTGGCATCCATCCATCATCCAGCCAGGATCAACATGGAGACATGGGTCCTGGAGTAAGATAGTAAGTGACCAGTGTTGTGCACCAGACAGTGGGATAGATAACGCTGCATTTAAATAACTCTTCTTTTCTCCAACCTGGTAGAATGCTAGGACCGGATTTCTTGATTGATTGAGCAAGCCTGATTTTAGCATTAACATCAGTATAGCAAGGTTTTAGAAAACTTTCTTGACATTTATGGTTGCCTTCTTTTTCTCTACATCCTCATAGCACCCCTTATTGCCTTCCAACCTACTGTCAGAGAGACAGCGATCATAAAGGAGAACAAATCCGAGGTAACATGGAGGGAGAGAGAAAACTTCCAGAGTCAGAAACGGAGGGGATCAGACATGGTGGGACCATCAGGAGGTGGTATAAGATCACAGTGAGTGTCCTGGCATAATGAACCCAGTGTGCAGTAGACACTGGTTGGGGGGAGTTGTGCTGATCTCATGTGGTGGAGACACTAGGTACTTTGGTGCAGCACGGGGAGCTGGGAACATGTCCATACTATTAATAGGTGTTAGCATCCTCGATTTGTGTGATGGCAGTTTGGGAGAAGCAATAAAAAGAGAAGAGACTGAAGGCAGGCAGAATGGAACCCATTGTGTACAGATAAGAGTGGAAACTGCTCACACAAAGATGGAGATGCTCTCCACTGCATGGTTCAGCTTGGCTCAAACTAAGGGGTTGGAGGAGGGCACAGGGATGGTTTTCACTTTCTGGAGTCATTGTCAGAAGGGCAGGCAGGACTACGTTAGGTACAATTGCCTGGAACCCTGTGAAAGGGAGAGCATGTTAAAGACCTGAAGTCAATTATTTGGAAGAAAATACTGAAATGTACAGAAAGTGTATTTCAGAGACCCTTGTCTGGCACAAAAGTGAGAAATAATGGACATTGGTCTATGTTTAGAACTGAAGTTAAAGCTTGATAAAAGTCTGAAAAGAATACATGTTGTATCTGTCTTTAAGCTTTATTTCCATCACATTAGTCTCCTCTCCTAGCCTTTCTCTTGATCCGAGATTCCACGTGGCTTTCAATATGATGAGAAATGTCTGCTGAATTTGATACAGAAGCAAAGCTGTGTCTCCCTCACCATTGCCAAAGTTAGAAAGGATGGGAAGACAGCCGAGCAGACACAGGGTCTGAGTAGGAGCCAGACTGAGCTGGGACTCAAGCCTCATGTTGTAATTTTCTTGGTCCTCTCACTGGTCATTCGTTATGAACAATTGCAAGCCTGGTTTTATGTCATGAATGTCAGCACTGGACTTACATTGAAGATTTCAGTGACAAGATTTGGGATGAGGACAATGAATGGGTGTGTTTCAGTACACGGCCGGGGCAGCTAGGGGCAGGAGGTCAGGCTGGGGATGGGTCTTCCTTGATTTTGGAATTGAGATTTCCC